AGTGGTTAAGAGTCCATGCTTTCACTGGAGTGGGCACAGGTTCCATCCCTGATTGGGGAGCTAAGATCTCACTTGCCATGCAGAGAAGCCAAGGGGGGGAGAAATGAAAAGGTGGAGAAAGGACTGGAAACAACACAACTATCCATCAAGTGACTGAAATTATCAATTGTGGCCATAAAATGGAAAACAACTCACCAATACAAAGGAATGAACTACTGATACATGCACCTAAAAATGAATGAATCTTACGCTGAGTGAAAGAAGCCAGATACAAATGATACCCACTGTATAATAACAAACTATCTATAATGATATAAAGCAAACCAGTGGTTCCCTGAGGGCAGGAACAGAGCCAAAGGAGGACACTGATGAAGTGGGCAGGAGGGAAGAATTATAAAAAGAGCATAAAGAAACCTTTTTTTTTTTTTTAGTTGGTCTTGCTTAATCTCACAAAGGGTGGGGGGGAAATGGATATGTCCATTATGTTGATTGTAGTGATGTTTTCATATATACATTATGTCTAAACTTAACAAATTGTATTTTAAACATGTACAGTTTATTACGGCAGTGAACAGTTTCTTTCTGTTACTATTTTTAAAGAAGAGATGAAGGTAGAGAAATTAATTGAGAGGTGTCATTTGGGGTGGAAGATTATGGCCTTGGCTTGAAAGAAAGCTCTGGCCAAGCCAGAAAGAAAGAGCAATGCAGTATGGTCCTGGGAAAGAGCAAATGTGTTTAGGGGAAGGTGACTAGAGCAGAAAACCTGTATGCATAGCAGTAGGAGATAAGAGCTGTGAAAGAAGGAAGAGGCAGATTATAGAGGGCCCTGAATATCAAAGTTTTTAAAAGTGTACATTGGGTTGTAGTTCCATTCCACCGAAATGATCCTGGACAAGTTATTTATCTTCTTTGAGTTTCAATTTCCTTTACCTATAAAATAAGGACGGAACCTATCAAGTGGTGGCTGTGAAGATTAAATGAGGCAATGCATGTAAACCACTCAGCAGAGGACAAGGTAAACAGTTTAAGTGCTAAGTAGAAGCAAGTATTATTATAACAAGTATTGTTACTAACTCCAACTTGGGCTTCTCTCGCGGCTCAGCTGGTAAAGAATCTGGCTGCATTGAGGGAGACCTGGTTTGATCCCTAAGTTGGGAAGATCCCCTGGAGAAGGAAATGGCAACCCACTCCAGTATTCTGGCCTGGAGAATTCCGCCGACTGTCTAGTCCACGGGGTGGCAAAGAGTCGGACACAACTGAGTGACTTTCACTTCACTAAGCAAATGTAGAAAGATGTTTGAGAAGGAGAAAGAAGAGATCAAATAGGTTCTTTAGGAGGATAAATCTGACCATCAATAATCACCTCCCCTCCAGAGTTAAAATATCAACTATAACACTTCTTTCCCCTTCCTCACTTTATAACTTCCTTCCTAGTAAACACCATGCCCAGGAGGAGCCTACAACCAGTTACCAAAGCTCTCTTATCTTACTAAAAGTATTTCAGCTGGTGAGCCCTATGACTCTGCTGCTGCTAAGTTGCTTCAGTCGTGTCCGACTCTGTGCGGCCCCATGGACTGCAGCCTACCAGGCTCCTTCATCCATGGGATTTTCCAGGCAAGAGTAATGGAGTGGGGTGCCATTGCCTTCTCCATCCTATGACTATGGGGACAAACTAAACAGAGTTGAGCTATGGCCTCTGGAATGGAAAATGAGAGCCCTCCACACAGAGTTTCAGCCACCACTACTACCACCTCAAGTCTTTGAGCCACCACCTCCATCATAGACATACCCACGGTGCATCCTAAAATTAAAGTAAGTGATATTTCTCTTTAATTTTAAAGTGTTAAGTATTTCACCACAGGTTTTTGGAGAGGGATCTTACTTTCTCAAGTCCCTTAAACATTGAACTAAGTTTATTCTTTGAGAAGTTTCTGAGGAGAAGCCTTTCTATGCCTCAGTTTCCTCATCTGTAAAGTGGGAGATAATAATGGTTAACTATTTCATAAAGTTCTTGTGAGGATTAAATGAGTCAATACGTGTGAAGGACCTAGAACAACATCCAACAGACACATACTAAATGTGTTTTCTAAACTTTGTTAATAACTTTTTCTATTTATAGTGCTTCTTGTTTGTGGTCATGACCTTTGTTTCATTTTGTGCTCATACATTTTTCAGTTACAAAGCATTAACAGTGTCCTCCTAAAAGACTATTTCACCCCAATACCCTTCTGGAATAGAAGCAAATTTGGTTGATGGGTTATAAATATTCACTTTCCAGTTCAGAGGCACTCAAACATCTCTATACATTTGCTTAGACCCAGTAGTGATTTTACCTATTTAGTTAGAAAATATATTACAGATAAAAGAATACAGCCAAGCTTTTAAATTAACTGGTAAATTTATTAATAACAATAGCATATACACACATTTGAAAACACACATATAAGAAACATTAAGATTTAGTCTCTCATAATGTCTGGAGTCCATTTGGATTCATGAAGCCCCTGCAATCAACTCCAGGACCCCTTATCCAAAAGCAGAGTTTAATAGCTGATCAGACCATCAGTGCCATTATCAGCAGAATCAAGGCTTGGACAGAAAAATACAACATTCCATAATTACAATGAAATAAAACTAAAATGCAATCGTCCTTGCATCTGAGGGTACAAAGTTGGACAACGTTAGCTGCATGACCAGTGGACCACTCACTCTCAACCTCATTTTTAAAGGACTATTAACATTCTCTTTTTTTCTCTCTCTCTGGGATCTTCCTGGATCAGGGATCGAACCTGTGTCTTCTGCACTGGCAGGCGGATTCTTTACCAGAGCCACCAGGGAAGCCCCAACCTCGTCTATTTTACAGGGCCTCCTGAAGAGCAAATGAAACTGTGAATGTAAATGAAAAGTTCATCTCAGTGGGGAACAAAAGATCAGGAGGGAAGAAGGGTGTCATAAATGAAGAAAGGAAAAGGATCTTCCAGTGAGCAATGTTCTGAATTTAATGAAAATCCAAAAGATTAGACCAAACTGAAAAGCATAAAGGACGGACTTAAAACTGCCACCTCCTCCTTAGCATAAATACACACACACAAAAATACAGCCCTCCTCCCAGCTGTTGCCCTGAGGTGACCATAGCCAACTTGGGAAAGGAGCTCAGAAACATTTCCATTTTCATCGTGTCTTCATGTACGTCTAATGGAAATGAACCGCATCCATCCATCCATCCATGAAGGCGATTTTTAAAAGAAAAGGGACAGAAAAATCAATTGAACAAATACTAACTCAGTAAGTACTTAAGTGTCCACTGTGTGCCAAGCACTGGTTAGCGGGGACGACATAGACGAAAACCAAAGCAATAAAGTTTCTGTTAAGGTCTTGAGGAAAATGGTAAACAAGGAAAAAAAAAAAAACCTAATAATAGCAAAACAATTTCTGACAGCTGCTAGGAGGAACATAAAATAGTGAGGGACCAGAGACAGGAAGGAGAGGCGCAACTTCCCGAAGGTGTCTGAGGTGACGTTTGAAACCAAACTAAAATGACGAGTGCCTTGCAGTGACTTGACGCCTAAATATTTCGAGAAAAGAGAATTAAAAGCAAAAATGATCCACAAACCAAGAAACAACAGGAATCTCACAGCGCCAAAGTGAGCGGCGCAAACCAGAACCGAAGAATTCCGGAGCGGCGGGAGATTTTGAATATTCATGTCCAATCAGGGGAAGGCTGAGACCAGGCAGCGCGGGCTCAGTACGAAGTATCCCGAACCGTGGTGTCCACAAGCCGCCTCATCGCAAGGGCCTAACTGGTGATCCGGCACCCACGTAGCTGCCAAACTCGTTTAATTCTTCAGGGCTGTGATGCAGTGTTCGGAAGACCCGGGCTTGGTCGTGTCCTGGGGTCCTTTCTTAAATGTGGATAGCTGAAATCCCTCACTTCGTTTTGGAACACCGGTGAAACGTACACCAACAGAGCCACCAGGACATAAAATCTAGGAGCAGTCTCAGTATCCTAATTTAGAACTGACTCATACGAAAGCTAAGCAGCAGTGAGGGTTAAGACGCGCCCTAGATTCAAAAGCAAAGCCAGTCACGCGCCAGGAATCTCAAGTCATAAGGGCTTAAAAAGCTCCGTGTGTCATCTTCCATTACTTTTAGCCAACTAGAGTAACTTACTTTGTGAGGAACTGAGGAGAAACAAGTGAACAAGGCTCTTTTCTGGTGATTAGGTGGGTGGCTCTGAAAAGAGCCTTTGGAAAATCAAGCGGCTTTGCGACTCGTGCGAGCGCCGCGTCCCGGCAGGGACTCACTTGGAGCTGGTGTACTTGGTGACCGCCTTGGTGCCCTCGGACACGGCGTGCTTCGCCAGCTCGCCGGGCAGCAGCAGGCGCACGGCCGTCTGGATCTCCCGAGACGTGATGGTCGAGCGCTTGTTGTAATGCGCCAAGCGCGACGCTTCGCCCGCGATGCGCTCGAAGATGTCGTTGACAAACGAGTTCATGATGCCCATGGCCTTGGACGAGATGCCGGTGTCCGGGTGCACCTGCTTCAGCACCTTGTACACGTAGATGGAATAGCTCTCCTTGCGGCTGCGCTTGCGCTTCTTGCCGTCCTTTTTCTGGGCTTTGGTGACGGCTTTCTTGGAGCCCTTCTTGGGCGCGGGAGCGGATTTTGCCGGCTCAGGCATTGTGGAACAACACCGTTTGGCAAAAAAAGAGGTATGAGAATGGGCGGGCCTGATCCATTTATAACCACCGTATGCAAATTAAGGCTCCAAAAGTCTTACATTTCCATTGGTCCGCGGAGAGACCTTACGTTATCAGTAATAGCTACGGAGCAACACCGACTCTTTAACCTTATTGGCCGTTTCAGGAGCCAATTTAGGACCAATGAAAAGCTCGTTCCTGACCCCACCCCTCGGGAAACTTATAAAGGCTTTCCAAGTGCTGATATTTTTAAATCGTTTGCCGAGGGGATCTGGTCTTTAACTGTACTGCTCTTTAATCATGTCTGGTCGTGGAAAGCAGGGAGGCAAGGCCCGCGCAAAGGCCAAGTCGCGTTCGTCCCGCGCAGGCTTGCAGTTCCCGGTAGGGCGAGTACACCGCCTGCTGCGTAAAGGCAACTACGCCGAAAGGGTGGGGGCCGGCGCGCCCGTCTACATGGCGGCGGTCCTGGAGTACCTGACCGCCGAAATCCTGGAGCTGGCCGGCAACGCGGCGCGCGATAACAAGAAAACGCGCATCATCCCTCGTCACCTGCAGCTGGCCATCCGCAACGACGAAGAGCTGAACAAGCTGTTGGGCAAAGTCACCATCGCCCAGGGCGGCGTTCTGCCCAACATCCAGGCCGTTCTATTACCAAAGAAAACCGAAAGCCATAAGGCCAAAAGCAAATAAAGCCTTACAAAGTAAACCAAAGAACAAAGGCTCTATTTAGAGCCACCCAAGTTTTCAAAAAAAGAGCTAATGCGCTATTTTGTGATCAGCCCTTTATTTTGACACTTTGGTGGTGGCTCTTAAAAGAGCCTTTGGGGTGAGTAGCGATGGTATCAGGCCTCTTAATTACTTATTCTTGCCAGGCTTGTGACTCTCCGTTTTTTTGGGCAATAAGACTGCCTGGATGTTGGGTAAGACACCGCCCTGGGCAATAGTGACACCCCCGAGTAACTTGTTGAGCTCTTCATCATTTCTCACGGCCAGTTGCAAATGGCGAGGGATGATACGCGTCTTCTTGTTGTCTCGGGCGGCGTTGCCCGCCAGCTCCAGGATTTCCGCGGTCAGGTACTCCAGGACCGCCGCCAAGTACACCGGTGCGCCGGCCCCCACCCTTTCGGCGTAGTTGCCTTTGCGCAGCAGGCGGTGCACTCGCCCTACGGGGAACTGAAGGCCAGCGCGGGATGAGCGCGACTTAGCCTTGGCCCGAGCTTTGCCTCCCTGCTTTCCGCGGCCTGACATTACTGCTAAAACTGCAGTTACAGCTTCTTTTTCAAGGAGAAGGATATGGCAAGGATAACCAATTTGATGTAATTTATAAGAGCTACCGGGAGGGGTGAAGGGAAGTGGTTTGATTGGCTAAAAGCGGAGTCCGATCGAACAGCCAATAGGAAAGCGAAAAGCAGACTCTTCGTTTGCATCTTGCGCTACGAGGAAATGACGGCTTCTGTAAGTACCTACCAATCGTTGTGAGCCACATTAAAGCCCTTTATTTGCATGCCAGGATTTTTAAAGTGAAGGCTTTCAAACAAAACGCTCTTCTGTTTTGCTTTATTTACTGAGTGGGTAATTTTTTTCTATCTTAGGGATGGTAGGTTTTTTTCCGGTTTACACCAAGGGAAATCCCAAAAAGGATCCTAAAGGGCTGCGGAGAGCCTTTAGCAGATGCAGTTACTCCCACTCAGGGTCCCGAATTCTGAAGCTAATTATCCCTTGAAACCTTAAATTACTAAGTTCCTCCTTTAATGGCTTGTTAAAGCCAGACTACCTTAAAAATTTTAGTACTGAGGCTCTTTTCTTTCGATTTAGTTGTTGCCTGCGGTGTGGCTTCGCCCCACCCGCACCCGTTTCTGTTCCTCAGACTCCGGTTTAACCGAGGACCATTTCCTTCTCAGGGGATCTTTCCGACCCAGAGATCGAATCCGGGTCTCCAGCATTGCAGGCAGGCGAAGCTCAGAATAGGATGTCATCCTCCTCTTGACCTCCAGGAGGCGTCCCAAACCGCCTTCAATTTGAAGGCGTCTTTCCCTTGGCCTTCAGAACGTCTCCCTCCGTCTTTGCTGCTGCTGCTTTTCCTCTGCCCTTGTTTAAATCCCAGTGTTCGACTCGGCTCTGCCTCCCTACTCGCCTTTTCCGCACACTTCTCCATTCTTCACTCTTCCTGAAGTCGTACCCAGTTCAGTGCTTTCAACTAGTACTTGTTGCAGAAGCTCAGGCCTATATACCTCTTTACTGGATACTTCAACTTATCTGTCCCAATAACTCATAACCTATCCAAAACTTATCCAAAAGCAAACTCATCCAGTCGCCGCCACCCTCACCCCCCCCCCCAGCTCCCCTCTCTCTGTTCTTTCCCTGAATTGCACCAACAGTCTGCCCAGTACCTGAGCTAACATCTACAGTTTCCTGCATCTTACAGCATATATTCATGAATATTCCTGAATATTCATTGGAGGGACTGATGTTGAAGCTGAAACCCCAATACTTTGGCCACCTGATGCGAAGAGCTGACTCACTGGGAAAGACCCTCTGATGCTGGGAAAGACTGAAGGCGGGAGGAGAAGGGGACGACAGAGGATGAGATGGTTGGATGGCATCATCAGCTCAATGGACATGAGTTTGAGTAAACTCCGGGAGTTGATAATGGACAGGGAGGCCTAGCGTGCTGCAGTCCATGGGATCGCAAAGAGAACAGCCTATATACACGGTTATTTAACTTCAGCCTTTTCCTCCATTATCTTAGACTCAGCAACAGTCCCTAGAGACTCCTTTGCCCAATCCTCCACTTAACCTTCCAAAGAAATCTTTCCTGAAAGTTCCATCTCTTCCTCCTCAGCCTCCCATCCCTGGGAGTTCTACATCTGCACACCATTTTCACCCTTTTCTAAATATCCCACAAAGTTGAAACCGCTGAAATGTCTTGGGGGCTCTGCAGAGCTTCCAAGCTTCCATTCTTTATGTCTTAAGTGCAGAAAGAATTCAGCAAGAGGCAAATTGATAGATTAAAAAGTGATTTATTAAAATAGGGTATTTATGAGGCTTACAAGTGGAAGGGTGAGAGAGGGTGCCATGCCCTGAGAATTTAAGTGGGTTGCAGTTTTATAATCAAAGAAAAAGGGGGGCAGGGAGACTACCTTCTTCCTCATTCTTGAGTGGATATCAAGCTTCCATCACCAGTCCCTCCACGTCCGCAGGGATGTTTTCTCCTCACTACATGGTCAACCTGGGATTGTCACGGCACAATAGAAATGAGCAAAAAGGCAGTTCAGCTCAGTTGCTCGGTTGTGTCTGACACTGCGACCCCATGAACTGCAGCACACCAGGCCTCCCTGTCCATCACCAACTCCCGGAGTCCACCCAAACTCATGTCCATTGAGTCGGTGATGCCATCCAGCCGTCTCATCCTCTGTTGACCCCTTCTCCTGGCATCAGGGTCTTTACCAATGAGTCAACTCTTCACATGAGGTGGCCAAAGTATTGGAGCTTTCAGCTTCAGCATCAATCCTTCCAATGAACACCCAGGACTGATCTCCTTTAGGATGAACTGGTTCAATCTCCTTTCAGTCCAAGGGACTCACAAGAGTCTTCTCCAACACCATAGTTCAAAAGCCTCAGTTCTTCAGGGCTCAGCTTTCTCACATCCTTACATGACCACTGGAAAAACCATAGCCTTGACTAGACGGACTTTTGTTGGCAAAGTAATGTCTCTGCTTTTTAATATGCTGTCTAGGTTGGTCATAACTTTCCTTCCAAGGAGTAAGCGTCTTTTCATTTCATGGCTGCAGTCACCATCTGCAGTGATCTTGCAGCCCAAAAAAATAAAGTCAGCTGCTGTTTCCTCGGTTTCCCCATCTATTTGTCATGAAGTGGTGGGACCAGATGCCATGATCTTAGTTTTCTGAATGTTGAGCTTTAAGCCAACTTTTTCACTCTCCTCTTTCACTTTCATCAAGAGGCTTTTTAGGTCCTCTTCACATTCTGCCATAAGGGTAGTGTCATCTGCATATCTGAAGTTATTGATATTTCTCCCGGAAATCTTGATTCTAGCTTGTGCTTCTTCCAGCCCGGCGTTTCTCGTGATGTACTCTGCATGTAAGTTAAATAAGCAGGGTGACAATATACAGCCTTGATGTACTCCTTTTCTTATTTGGGAAAGGCAGTAACATATACTAAAAGTGGTGAGTCATTTCAAGTTTCAATTTAATGTCACCGTTTCCTTATATTTTTTGTTTGTTTTTAATATGTGCAGGGAAGTTTGTCCTAGGAATCAGTTTACTGAGCTCATTGGGCAGGATGTGGGTCTCATGCCACCGTTGTTTTATTGTTTGGGGGTTTTTGTTGTGTGGTTTTGTTGCTAAGCAAGCCTGCTTGATTTTGAAGTTAAGCAAACCTGAATTCTTGCATGATCATTAACTTACAGGGGTTTCCCATACATTTTTCTTTACTTACAATCCTCTAATGGGATTAATTTATTCCTTTACTTTGTTGCTATCAAGGCCAGAGAAGGTAGAATGCTATAGAGAAAAGAATAGACTTAAATTTTTACTTCGAGCTCCTTTATAGTGTTCCTCTTTTTATCCTCAGCTTTGCCCAACTGACATTTACTGAGTACATGCTAACTATCAGGCAATGGCTACACAGATAATTGAGACTGATACAAAGACGTCTGTAATGAGATGCCTCTAGAAAATGAAGGAAAGCTGACTCTGTAAGTTAAAACAGTTAATATCAGCTATCTGTAGAGCTTACCTCTGGTTAAGAATGCTAGTATAGATTTATGAAACCAAGTCAAAAGTAATGGGAGTGCTTCCTCAATAGTAGGATGTAACTGAAGATAATTCTAACCGAACTGATTATAGCATTTCAGAAGATTCATATATTAATGGAAAGACATGGTCCACAGAGCATCTAATGGGGCAATTACAGTGGGAATGTGTAGCGTTTCTCTAATACTATGTGTTTGCTAGACACAAGGGTTTAGTTATTATACAAAATTCCTTGGTGAAAGCATCAGCTTGTTCTCATAGCTGGGGTAAAATATTTCCGAAGATTGTTCAACTCTGTTAACTCAGATTCTGTTCTCAATTAACAACTTTCCAATTATTCTATTTCAAGGTTAAAATATGAGACTGAGAAGGGAAGAACTAGTATGGGAAGATTTATCTATCACTAAAAGTTAATTAATTTGCATTCTGAACTCATCAACAACTTGTATATTTTGTTAGTGTAACTTTCTCCCCAAGAAGCCAGCCAACTCTGGAAGTTCTAATGGTGGTGGTTTAGTCGCTAAGTCATGTCTGACTGTTGTAACCCCATGGACTATAGTCTGCCAGGCTTCTCTGTCCATGGGATTTTCCAGAGAAGACTACTGGAGTGCATTGCCATTTCCTTCTCCAGAAGTTCTAACAGTGTCAGCTTTTCAGGCCTACAGAGCACAAAACGAAATAGTACAGACCCCACAACAACTCTGGTACCGGTACCTTCAAGGCCCTGCTTGAGGGGCCAGCTGACCTCCCACTCTCTTTGACCTCTGAACTGCTTTTACTTCTATTACAGTGACCCTGTGCTACTGGGAAGGGTGAAGGGAAAAAGAGATTACATTGAACCCTTGTTCAGTAAGATACACCCTGTGCTAGGGGCTACCTATGAAGTATTTAGATATACAGTCATACTTCGGTACCAGGACCCCCCCAGTGGATACTAAAACCTGAAGATGTTCAAGTCTCTACATAAAATGGTGTGCGTGAGTTGCTTAGTTGGGCTTGCCTCATAGCTCAGTTGGTAAAGAATGTGTCTGCAATGCAGGAGACCCCAGTTTGATTCCTGGGTCGGAAGATCTGCTGGAGAAGGAAGGGATAGGCTACCTATTCCAGTATTCTTGGGCTTCTCTTGTGGCTCAGCTGGTAAAGACTCCACCCAAAATGAGAGAGACCTGGGTTTGATCCCTAGGTTGGGAAGATCCCTGCTTTAGTCGTGTCCAACTTTGCAACCCTATGGGCTGTGGCCCACCAGGTTCCTCCGTCCATGGGATTCTCCAGGCAAGAATACTGCAGTGGGTTGCCATGCCCTGCTCCAAGGGATCGAACCCAGGTCTCCTGCATTGCAAATTCTTTACCACTGAGCCAACGGGGAAGCCCTATAAAATGGTGTAGTATTTGCATATAACCTACGCATATCCTCCCGGATAGTTTAAAGTATGTCTAGATTACTTTTAATACCTAATACAATGTAAATGTTATGTA